TATATATATATATATATATATACCCATAGGTGGAAATACTTGTATGGAATGTTCAGTCCTTCATATAACTGCTTGGGCAAGAAAAAGGGGTCCTTCATTTGTACAAGTAGATGTTCACCTTGTACCTTGATTCACCACATACACTGTTTGCTACTCAGAATTACAAATTACAGGAAAAAGCTCCCCTTTTCCCATGGAAGTCTTCAGAGGAGTCATGACTGTAGGCCATAGTATTTCAAACCTGAACTACCATGATAAACTGTATGTAAGTGATCCTCTTACCTCTTCTTTTAGCCATTCATTCTCTTCAATTTCTCTGCAGATTTTTTTGTCTAAGTATCTCACAGCATTCTGAGAAAACACAATTTAAGATAAGCTCATCTGAAAGCAGGACTTTGACAGTGCTACATACTGTAAAAAAGAACCTTCTGCTGATTAGCAGGAAATAATTAAGAAACATCCACAAAACAGGCTGTAGCATCCCCTGAGGGATGACAAGGGGATTTAGCCCACAAGGCCAGATGTTTCTTTTTCATCATCCTGCCTAGTGCAGCTCATATGTCAAGCAATTTACCAATATGTTATAATTTCCTGCATTAAAATAATACGTTTCCGTTTTGCCTACAAGTTCTGCTATGTCTCCACTGCTGCTCAAATCTTCCTGTTTTCAGGAAATCAAGCCTTTAGCTATTACGAAACCAAAGCAAACTCACAAATGAGGCAGTACTGATCTCTGACAAGTGACTTAATTCCATGCTAGTGAGCCAAGGATAAAATTTAATTATCTCAGTAAGTGGGAAGGGACAACTGGGAGGGAAGATGCCCCATAGCAGATCACCATAAACACAGTCCTTTAGATTATGCTCTCACATGACTGAAAATTCTAGCACTGAAGTCAGGGAATTTAAGTTCCTAATGGGCACAACAAAGGGTTTGTACTGAAGTATGCTTTGCGTTGTGTGTGTGTAAGAAGTCACCACCATAACTACTTTGTAAACCATGTTTGCAAATCAAAGCTGGCAGAAATGACAAAAAAAAAAAAAAATCTGTTTCAATAAGCCTAAATTTTACTGTATACTGCACTAGTTTGGCATTTAAATAAAGTTATACTTTACAAGGACAAAACTTTTCCCAAATTTATGTATATTTCCATGCAGACAACCTTTTAGTGTGTTATTGTTTTCTGAGGTCTATACAAATGTCAAAATCAAGGTCACATCAAAAGTGACATGTCCTTGAACAAGTCCTATCAGTGCGTGGTGCCCCAGTTTCCCATACCTCATTTGTAAAATGTCCTCATATCAACTCATTGTGAGTCTCATGTAAAAAAAAAAAGTGTGTATAACAACCAATGCCATGTTTAATAATAAGATTTACAATTTACTTTACTTTCAATTTATTAGAAAAGTTCTAAGTCTTAATTTGAGTCAAAATAATGATTAATGCAGAGTACCTTAATCCTAACCTTAATCCTAGCTATGATGCAGTTAGTACTTTTAAAAAAGGCAGAAGGAATACCTCAGTGGCCTGTTCCTTGCTTAACTTCATGTGCTTCTCAATCAGTCTGTCATTTTCTTCTTTCACTGCTTTCAAAGAATTCCCGTAATATTCTTCAAAATAAAATAGGAAATCAGAAATCACTATTTGACATCAATTTCTCTTGACAACAAATAGATAATCGGCATGCTGTTCCTTAACTTGAATTTATCAGCCAGCATCCCACGCATGGATGCTCCACAGAAAAAGATTCAAACTTCCTTCTTCATAGAAATCACCCTTGTAAACCCAAAAGACAGTAGCATTCACTACAGAACGAGAAATCTGAAGTTGCTTACACATTTCTGTTGTCAACTACAACAGCTGAGCAATTCACTGCTACCTGTGAGCAGTGATCTGCTAAAACATTGGTATCTTAGGCCTAAATTTTGTTTCTATCGATATCAGAGTTCTTGGAGTCATGCGAGATATTTGCTTAGAAAACTTATTTTTTTAGGTAAAGAAGCATATTGGATTATCTTATGCACATGACGTTTTTTTTTCAGTTATTATACAGAGCCATATAAATTCTCTGACTTATCTAAGCCTTACAGGGGGTTCTAATTTGACAACAGGACAAAATAGAGAATGTAGCAATTGCCTCAATTATTTGCTTTTGTCATTATTTGTAGTCATTATTGTGAAATCATATCTTATGTCAAACTGAATTTGTTTGGCTTCAAGTTCTAGTCACTTAACATTTAATTATTTTATCCTTCCCTTCAGTTCTTTTTGTGCTACTCTAAATAGCCCACTGCTGCTTGGTATTTTCTCCTTTTGAGGGAATGAATGAGATTATAGTAATTTTCTTTGAAGGAATGCACTTCATCCTTGTTCCAGAGGCTTGAAATTCAGCCTGGCTCTGCACTTGGGTTGCAGACAGCCGATTGCTGATCTGGCTGTGAATGAGTGTCTGGTCATGGACCCACTGTGGAGCCAAAGGCAGTCAAATATGAAATACGCATTAGTCGTATGTTAGTTCTTAATTCCACACTGTGGAACCTGGCCTGGCTTAATCAATCCACCAGCTACACTTGGCAGAATGCAGTGGAATTACTTACGTGCTATAATTAATTCACCTTTTCAATCTTTCAGACAGCTCAACAACCTGAGTGTACTGGGAGGATGAAGAAAAGGAGGAACCACTCAGATTCACTGTTCCTCAGAAGACTCATTTCTCTGCCTCTCACTGCAACTCTGTTTCCCCCACACCCCGCAGAAGTGTGTGGCTCTGTTGCTTCCTCTCCCCTCCAGCAACACATGAACTGTGCCAGAGCCACGCCCTTCAGTGGCACCTAGAGACAGCAACCCCTTCACCTGTGCTTATTCCCTAGGCCTCTTACATATCCAAGGAGTGAACAAGCCAAATTTGCTGCCACATCACTCTGGAAGCTTGTTAGATTTTTTTGTTTGTTTATAGGCTAGAAGGCTGTACTCCCCAGACACTTTACAAGTTCAATTTTAGGAAGTGGAGTAATATAGTATGCCAGTTTCCAGTACTGGCAACATCATTTTGTAAGCAACTCCTATATGTACCTCTGTAACTGTCTTTCTATAAATACACTTCCGTTTGACCACAGAGTTTTGGCTCTGTACCCTGTGACATGCAGGAGGTCAGACTGAAAGTTCCTACTGGCTCCTTCTGGTGTTGTGTATAAAAGCCCATTCTTTTTTTCATTTCATATTTCAGCAGCTGTATAGCAAAGTTTTAAATTGATTAGGAACATGGAAAGCACATAATGAAAAATACCAACCTCTCCTGAATACAGAGAGGTATATTTGACAAGCTGTCTGGCAATTTAGAGAACACAGTGCAGATCTTAATGGTGATAAAATATATTTCAAGAGACAAAAAGACAGATAGCTGGCTGTTAGCCACAGTAGTTGATGCCTGGCAATGGTTGGCACAGAATATACAGAGACTCTCAGAGCAGTGTCACTGCCTGTTACTACCAGCTGCTTGGCTGTGGTCATGCATACTGAGAGGGACATAAAGGAAGAAAACCAGGACATCCTTCTCCCACCAGTAGCATGGGTGATATAAAAGCAAAATATTTAAATGATTTTAAAATAATGCAGCAGTAAAGAATTCTTTGTAAAGCGCTCAGCACAAGAATACATAAGCTCTCCAATAAATTCCACTGTTGTGTCAGTACTGAAACAGTTCCCAGTATTTGAGTCTGGCTGTCCCGGCAGTTCTGCGGGGCCTCACACAGGAGGCTCTGCTGCTGGGAGGCAAAGCTGAGACGCTGACTCAACAGCTCCCTCTAGTCCTGCGTTTAAACCAGCGCACTCAGCCGAACAGGCTGTCCCGACAACGCTTACTCCTGTCAAAGGAGTCTGCACCGTGTAAAGTGCTTGTAGCACGATGAGAAGCAACAACAGCAGAGTCAACATTTTCAAGTACGACCAGTAAGGGAGTCCGCTGTGTAGGTGACCTAAATATATGTAGACTTATTTTTAGAGAACTGCTGTCCTTTACAGTAACATTGCCTGTATTTTACAAGAAAATAATCAGAAAGACAAGTCTATCACTTTCTTTAAGTGTTCATAATTTCTGTAACTTTATCAATTTCTTTAATAAAAGGACTTTCACAGGGCTAGATAGAGAGTTCTTCCATTTTACAGGATTATGCAGCCCACCTTACATGCATTGGCTTGGAAAAGTTGATAAAAGTGACTAGAACTTGACCTCAAATTAACTTTATAATTTAATTAATTCCTGCAAGCAATACACAAAGAGCCTGTAAGACTTGCATTACTAGCTGTAAACTAACCTGTAGTTCTGTGAAAGTCATCTTTGACTTCCTTAATGTCTTCTTCCAGGTTCATGATCTTGTCGGCCAGTATTTTACTTCCTACATTTTTGTATTCCAACCAATAATCTCTCTCGCTCTGCTTAACTGAAAGTTTTTGTTCAGTTTCTTCAATTTGGGAGTGCAGATCTATTAAAATAATATGTCAGAAGACAAGCTCATCACCAATTTCTTGAACTTCATAATTCTTACAACTTCATCAAATTCTTTAATAAAGGCACTTTCACTGGGCTTGGAAAAAGAAGGGGAATTCATCTACACTACAATACAACATGATGGCCTCACATAGTGTCAAAGGCCACCATACGTTGCTGGAAACAGCTTGATCTTACTCTGCCCAGGAGAGACAACAGTTCTCACTGAAATGTAGTTACTGACGACACGTGTCTCACATGGAGAATCGCAGGGATGGCAGGCAGAACTTTCAACAATCAAAACTGTTCATTTTTGGTGCCATCAATAATTTTTTTTTATATCTTCCAGCAAAACCACTGCATAGGGCTTCCCTGAATTTCAACTTCATAGAAAAAATAAAACCTCTGTACTTGTACAGTAATATATAACACTTGGAAGGAACAGATTTACTTATAAGCCTTCCACAACTCATGCCACATTGAGAGTTTCATTATGAGAAGGAAAAGCTTTATGCTTTTTATGCAACAAGGACATAGAATCTCTTTTTAAAATGAAATTAAAAAAAAGTACTCAATCCCAACTGCAAGCCACACTTCCATAGCTTACAACATACCTTGCAGAAGTTGTTCTTTGTCCTTAGCATACTGCCATTTTGCTATCAGTGACTCTTCCACTTCATCCCTAGTTACAGCCTCCTTTTCATCTTTTTCTTTCTCCTCTTCTTCCATTTGTCTCAGGATGCTCCAGATGTGTGCCTGTTGCTCTCCCTTCAGAAGGTCATGCTATGCAACAACAACAGAAGAAAAGGCATGTATTAAAACATTTGCAAACTAGTTTTCAAAGTGACAAGCTTAAGTAAAGAAAAAAAGTAAAACCTGACCTAGTGCCAGGATGCACTGCAAAACAGCTGAACACCTATTCTTCATATTTTAAAAGGATGGAGCAGAAGGGAGAGTTTGCAAGCCTCAGAAGTTCCTCAGTAACTTTTGGACCATTAGAAGGAAAAGAGAGACAAATGACTGCGGTACTTGATGCAGCACATCAATAGTTCCCCATTGCCTGGAAAGAAAGTTCCTTGTGGGCCAGTTTAACAACAATATTTATTTGTAGGAGTTATTTACCTCACATCAGTATCCTTCATGACAATGTAGCAACCTCGTGGAGAGTTGTCATGAGACAACTTGCATAGGGCCACAGTAGAGAGTCTTGTCAGAGCTGGAATTAGTTATACCTACTGATTCCACAGCTGTGATTGTCATCCTTTGCCATGATCCTCTCAAGCAACACTCAAATTACTTGAAATTACTAATTGTGGATGTTTGCTCCCAAAGGAGACCGTAAAGGAGCAAATAACCATACCATCCAAACTGTACCAGTAACCATGCAGTAAAGAGAGACACTCTCAAGCATTCCTCATTTTTAGAAAGATTAAACCACTCAGAACATTAAGGAGGAAACAAAGAATGAAGCTCAAAGAACTGTCAAAACAGGTAAGTTAAACAAATAACACTCCAAGCATGCCCTGAAGTACCTTACACTGTCTAAAATATGAAGGAGTCTTGAAAGACCATGAACTAGCAGCAAATTGGGGGAATAACCATAAAAGACTTCAGGTATCTGCAGAGAGAAGAGGCAAACACCACTTCCAGTGATAGTTAAGGTCACAAATGAAACACTATCCAGGCTTCAAAACTGAAAGAAACATCAAGGAAAGCTAAACAGGGCAAGTATCAGGCATGGGAAAAACAGAGACATTTAGTTCCACATTCCCCTGCTATAGGAAGTGCAGGCTGCAACACTGTTTAATCTTCTGATTCAGTTTAAGGATTTTTGAGTGATTTGAATTCATTTTGTTAGGTGACTGTACAAATACCCACTTTCAAAGTTCACTGCTCTCAGTCACCAGGTGCCATATTACAGTTCTTTATATACAGTTCATATCTACAGTTCTTTAAAGTGTCAGTTCAGGTGACACTTTAGGTGATGCTGAATGGACTGCAGTAAAGTCACCTAAGGAAAGGGGCTTTCCTGTCCTGTGTAAGATTAAATACTTTGGTGGTTATTGAGGATTTCATGTGCATTGGAAAACACCTTCCCTGAACTCGCTTTACATTACCCCTGTGTCCTATTCTGCAGTGTTCTACTCCTGCAGCTCCTTTTTTACATGGTTATATTCAGGACATTAATGCTTTCTGTCACATTTAATTCAGGTAACCCTAATTTTCAGCACATAAAGCGACTCACCAACTCTAGTTTCATTGACTGTAAGAAAATCACTGCAGTGACTTCCCCTAGTGAAGGTAGTATTAGGATTAAAAGGATAAAATTGCATCTGTGATTTAGAACATCACATATAAAATGTGTTGGGAGAAGGATGGTACAGGGTCACTTACTCTTTCATGATATTCTTTGTTCTTTTTTTCCACTTGTTCCAGTTCAAACAAAACCCTATCAATTGCTGCTTCTTTTGTCTCAACCCTGTAAAGAAAGAGTAAAGAAAGACATTCTTATGAAAACAGAAGAGAGAGGAATGGTTCTTTTTGTATCCTATTGCTTGATTTATTTGGCTAAATACCACTATCTGCTTACTGCATATAAAGAAATTATTTCCCATACATATATATATATATATGCATATATGTATACATGTTGGTCTGGACTCTACTGAGAAACAGAATCTCTGATTATACTGTTCCTCTGTAACCACTAGAGAGAATTATTCTTTCTGGATATGATTTAGCAGACCTATTGGACATGACCCTTTTAGAACAAAATTATTTGTGCTCCAGAAATATTTATTACCACTCACTTTAGAGGAAGCCTAGGCAACCCATGCAGACACAGGTCAGATGAATCCCACACTGAAGAATTAAACAGGATTAATTTCTTCTGAAAATGAGGTTTGCTGAGCTTCATGAACTGCATTTGTACACCAGGAACACGCTATGCTTTAAGCAGCACTAAGGGAACAGGGACTGCAGCCCAGGTAGCATCCTCTAAGTATCTTTAAAAATTTTCATCAAAGAACTAGCTCTTTTTTTCACAGTTTTCCTAGACTACTTGTCTTCCTCTTTGCCACAGCTATAAAATAAGTGGGGGTTTGTGTGTGTGTTCTAAACACTAGACTGCAAATGGTGTCTACTTGCAAAATTCTCTGTAACTTTTCCTTCTGTTCCCAGAATTCATTCACCACACAGCACAATAGAGGCAAGTATTACAAGTATCACAATATATTTTATTGTTTCAACAGCTATTGTTCCTTGAGTTCTTGTTTGGGGTTCCTCCCCCCCCCCCTTGTATTAAGTTGTTTTAAAAGAAGATAATTTTTTCCGTGCTAAGTTTGGATCAGTCAGTCATGCAAATTGCAGGTTACTAGATTTGCATCCTTCAAGTTTTCCATTAAGTCCAAGGACATTAGTTAGAGAGATTAGAACAGAGATACGGGGGTATGGTGGTGATGGCTACAGTAAAAATAGAACAATTACTAGACAGAGGTGACAGCTTGGCCACAGAGTGTGACCTCCTACATTACCTGCCATCTTAAACCCTTTCTCTATTTCGAAATTCTGCTGAAAATCTTAGCTTCTGCTACTTGAAGATTTTCCATAAAGTGGTCGTCTATATCCATCCCTTTGTTGCTGTCAAAAATTTTGTATGAGTAGAATTTGCCCTTTTGTTGGCTACATATTGGAACTTTCCTCTTTAAATTACTTTTTTTTTTTATAGTATTTGTCAGATTAAAGCTACAAAACAGCTAGGTTGAAGGTTCTTTTGATACTATTTTCTTAACTCTGTATACTAGGTTTCTTCTAGATGATTTAATCATCTAGAAGCAACACTCCTCTCCAGTTTTGTTAGCCATCTGTAGGATGCTACCATGGCTAGTAATTCACAGAATTTTTGTTCCTAACCAATCCTGAAACAGAAAACCGTACTGAAAATGCAAAATAACAAACTTGCTATGCACAGCAACCATTCTTCAATGTTGTGACAAATGAAACATTGACAGGAGAAAAAGCAGGAACGGAAGTTAAATAAATATTACACAGTTCACTAATCCTAAAGTGGAACATAGCAGATCTTCACTTGTATGATTGTGCTAGTTTGCTCAACCAAGTGGTACAGAGAAGTTCTAGATTACAGAGGTGACAACAGAAAAAGAGAGAGGGAGACAGATGAAGACAGAAAGAAAAATATTTTTCTTCCCTTTTCCCCCCTACTGTTGCTGTAGAAATTAAATATCCTGTGTCCGTACAGTACCCACTTCAGTAGAAGACAAATTACTCATTTGCTTGGATATTTGAATATGTGTAACAGTAATTTTATCAGAAACTAGTATGTTGGGTTTTTTTTCCCTCAGACTAATAATGCAGTTTGCTTATTTCTTAGCAAAATAGATGGGTTTGCTTGTGGTATTTATTTGTGATAGGACTCAGCTAAATCTGGTCCATTTCACTATGGAAATTTGTACTCTGTTCCATGTAAAATTAAACAGAAAATCCCACATCAACCTTGTAAACTCCTATAGATGTCACCAGAGCTGTGTGTGGTTGCTCTTCAGTTTTCTCACCCTGCTTTTCATTTGTACACCAGGTTACTACTTGCTCTCTAAATGCTGATAATTGTCGAATGTTGGATGCTGCTGAAGTTTTTCGCTTTCAAACTCTGTCTCTGATAAAAGTCACAGAATTTAATTTTTCTCCTTTCAATCATCTACTCAAGATACTGAAAATCAAATAAGTTGGACTAGTTTGTAACTACTTCAGATATTCTCCTCTTGGCTTTTATTTTTTCTCTGCTTGATTTTAAGATACCTCTAAGTTATCGCTCTATTATTTTCAAAATAAAACCTTCCATGTGCTTCACTCTCAGCTGCATCAAGGAAGCAAACTGTAGGTCTTGAGGTTATGGCTACTGACTACATACCTCTGCGAACACCAAGGAATCCTAAAAGATACAGTCTAATGTGATCTTGCAATGTCAGAATATGCTGATCCTTTCACATGTTCTATATGAGTGAAAAGTTAAACTTACTAAACCTACTGAAATTCTAGTAAAGCTTCTGGGAAATCTGATTCAGGTCCTGCAAGCTGCTTTTCTGGTTTCTCCTCCTTCTTCTTCCTGTCCATGTTTTGTTGTATTTGTTAGATCTAAAGGGAGGAAACGGCAAGCAGAAAAGAAGAAAAAGAAGAAAAAAAAAAAGTTAAATTAATGATGTACAACATGTCCTATGTCCACAGCCTTTGTCGCTTGTGACAAGTTCCTAACACTTCTGAAATAAACAGAACAAGGTGGTTTTTTTAACAACAATAAAAATCCTACTCGGGGTGGCACTCAGGCCCATGTTCTTGGGGCATCCTGTAGCAGTGTCATGAGTAAAGATACATGAACAGTGGCCTCTAGCACCAGTTACTTATTGCATCCCTTGCTGCAGGCTCTGTTTTACCTTCTTGCAAATCAAACAAGAGGCTGTTCTTTTTCCAGTCCTCTCTCTGTTTCTTTGTCATGCTTGTTTTATGGAGTCCACTTGTTAACGTGCATCTTTCCTTCTGTTCTCCTAGCACTATGAATATTTGCCTTTCACTGCAACTCTGATACCAGTTTTCATTGTCAGAGCTGGAACAAAACCACTCTCTGAAGGGATGTGCATGTCAGCAGTATTCCCTGGGCATGTTCTCACAATGACCAACCTCAGAATTCCACTGACAATGAATAATTCTGTAATATTATATTAGCATATACTATACAAAAGTCACAAGAAAAGTGGACTTATGAAGATTCCACACTTTCAGCAGTCACCTTATCAAATGCCAAAAACATGGGAAAAAAAAAAATGCCAAAAACATATGTTCATATAACATAGGGGGTTTATTACTGAATGAGTAGAAGCATTGTATATAATCTGTTTCCATATTAAACTGCTTTCCTGAATTTAAGTTTGGAATTCTAACAATTATCACTCTAATAGCTAAAATCGATAACTTGTTCTGTGACTAAATACAGCAGGCTGTATATTTTTCCTATTAAAACGAGCACAAGGAAACAGGGGGAAAAAAAAACACCAAACAACAACAACAACAAAAAACAGTGGAAAGGAAAATAGCAACGCTGCCAAATCGATGTAAAATCAAGGGAATGAAGTTAAACCAACTATCAGTAGATGCACTAATAGATCTGTATGCTGGCACGTGCCTTCTGACTGCACTCACCATACCCTGAAGCAAGGTTTTCTGTATACAAAACAACTTTCTACCCCAGACAAGTAGTTGCTGCCTGCTGATGAAAGAAGTGAGGGTGGTGAGGGCAGGCAGTGTGCTGTGTATTGCAGAAAGGCATGGAAAAGGAATGCTCACTGTGTGGCAGCTCTACAAGGTAAGTGAGAGAAAGGGTAAACATGCCCTGGAGTCTATGTCCCCACGCAGCTCCTTATACCTCAGAATGTCTTTTTCATAATGTTTTCTCCAAAAGAATTTTACTCCCACTCTGTTGGAAACCTGCTTGTGCAGATTTTGTCTGTTCTGCTGCTGAAAAAAAGTTCATGCTCATAGTGACAATTGGCTAGGAAATTTCTGACTCCCACAAGCAATACCTCGAACTTCTGAATGTCCCAGATCAAAGCTTTACTAGTTACTACACATCAGTAAAATGTTTCTACTGTGAAACTTCAACACAATCACGCCTGTGTCAGTGTCACCACACAAGAATGCAGTAAACCTTACTGCCATTTACCATCAGAAAAAAAATGCTTTTGTACCTGAGCATCAACTTGAATCTGAAGCCATATGAAATCCTTAATATTCACACACAACCGTTGCAGATACCAATTCAATACAGTATTTTTCACTAAGCTTTAAAAAATCCTAAACATATGACTGTTATAAGATTGAGATTTTAAAAAAAGATCAAGTGAATTATGAAAAAAATCTCCCTAGGACAGGAAGTCAGGTACTTACCTCCCCTAGACCCCTTTGAGATTTCCAGCCCAAATGCAGAAGTGCATGATACATTTTTTTAAACATAAGTCTGTCGTCTTTCTTCAAAGCAGAATTAACTGGACTGGTATTGACTCCATTTTCACCTGAGCATTTTCGTTACTGATTTTCCTCAGAAAGATTTCTGCAGCAAGTACCAACTTTTTTAAAAAAAAACTTGTTTGTCCTTCTACTGAATGGATAATCAAATCCCCTGCTTAAAACTGGATACAAATAGAAACAATCTGAGCAAAAAAAACTTGAAAAGTTTTGTTTTTGTTTTTGTTTTTGAATTCTAGCCTGAGGTGCATTCCAGTACATATTTATGTCCAAATTCTTCCTGTGCAGGGATCAAGGAAAAAGCCCCAAAGCTGTACAAGGTAAAACCCCCATAATATAACAACAGATATGCTGGATTTTGCAAACCACACTAAATAGACACACATGAGAGGAAACATTTAGAAGGGCTGAGAACTGACTGTGGGTTTTAGACCTGCAGGAAAACATTTGCAGAGGCCAAGATTTATTTCTTCTCCCAAACAAATAAATGATGAGGCATAACTCTTGGCAGACCCCCATTATCACCAACAGCAGTTTCTCAAGCAACAAACACACCACCAGTACATCCTTCGAAGACGCAAGGAGATCTCAGACACTGCGACACAACTACTGGGACTTCCAGGGACTCCTCGCGGGGAGCTGCGGAGTCGGGGCTCCCTCAGACCCCACCAGTAATCACCTCAGCGCTCCGAAGCCACACCAC